AAAAAGAATATAAGAACATAGAAAATAATTTGCAAACCAAAGTCTGGGGTGTTAGTGTTGGCAGAGTAACTTTTTCTATCTTTTTACTTTTCTACATTCTTAAAGTATAGATCTTAGAAAGAGCATATATTTGTGTTTGGGTGGTCACCAAAAGAATAGACAGATATTCCAGACATGGAAGCATTTCATAATATCTCTATCTCTGGGAAAGTATAGTGAATCTTTTATGCATAGATGTAATAATGTAGCTTCAATATGCAAAGGAACATAATAAAATAGTTCCAATTTTAATGCACATCTCTCAGTAGTCAATAAAATAAGCACATACAGATATTGAGAAGGATATATATATACCATTTCAATAATACAACCAGCAATTGATATATTATGACACTACACCCAACAGCTGTAGAATGCACATTCTTTTCAAGTACATATTTGAACACTTATAAGCATTTTCTGTGGGTTTAGCAGACAGCAAGTCGTAATGAGTTTCTAAAAAAAAAATTATAGCATGCAAGCTATATTCTTTGATAATTGTGAAAATGAGCTAAAAATCAAAACCAAAATGACACTGGAAAATGTCCAAATAACCATTTCTAGATAACCCATAGATCAAAGAAGAAGACAAAATGGAAATTAGAAAATGTTTTGAAATAAATAGTAATATATGAAATCACGTGAGATATAAACTATTAATGGATATATTAGAAATACCTGCTGAATGCTAATGTTCTAAGATCCAGCTCAAAAAATTAGCAAGAGAATAACAATTAAAATCCAAAAAAGAAAGAAAAAAGGGTAATTAGAAATTAATGAAATAGAGAACAGAATAAAATCCACAAAACCCAAATTCACCTTTTTGGAAAAGAGAAATAATTTGAAAAACTGATCAAGACTGATCAAAGAAGAAGGTGCAAATAAATGATATTATACAAATACACTGATAAGTTTTGAACAAATTTTTAGAAAAACACAACTTACTAAAACTAACACAAGAATACAGGAAATCTGAATTGTCCTATAGCAATTAAAAATTATTTTTAAAGACCCTCCTACAAAGAAAAATCTAGACTTAGATTGCTTCACTTGTGAGTTTTTTCCACACACTTAAGGGAGAATTACCTCAACTCTTCCAGAGAATGAAAGATAAAGAAGATACTTTCTAACTAATTTTTTGAGGCCACAAGAAGATGGTCATGAAACACTGCTGAAGAAATTTCATCAAAGACAAATTACAGCTAATTATTCTCATCTACATAGATGAAAAAATCCTAAACAAAAATATTAGGAATAAAAATATAGCATTACATAAAAAAGCTAATATATTATGATCTATTTGGTTTATACTAGGCATACAGTATAAATTTGAAAATGAATAGATGTAATTCACTTTTATAGAAAAAGAAGACAAATTATAATTTCAATAAATGTAGGAAAAATATTTGATAAAATTCAACAGCATTGATTATTCAATAAAAATCTTAGGACCAGAAGGATACATTCTTAATCTAATAAATGACATCTCTAAAATTTTAGAGCAATTATCATACTTAATAGTAAAATTTTAAACTTTTCTGCCCTGCTTTTTGGAGTAAGACGATCTTTGATACAATTCTTTTTATTGAATGTTATAATAGAGATCCTATTAATTATAATTTTCCATTAAAAATAAACAAAACTTGCAAGAACTAGAGTGGAAGAAATGATAATGTTATTTGTAGAGAACATAATTGCGTACCTAGGGAGTCCAAAAGAATCTATAGATAAAATATTATGATTAAGTGAATTAAGTAAGTTTTCTGGATATAGTAGAAAAACTGAAAAATCAGTACAACTTCTATGTATTGTCAACAAGTAACTGGAAAATTAAGTTTTAAAAATATAATCTAAAGTAGTAGTAAAACATCAAATATCTAAAACATCTAACGAAACATGTTTAAGAACCTTATATATAAACTAAGAACATAATCGAGAAAAAATAAAGCAGGCAAGTAAACTGAGGAATATACTTTATTATTTGAAACACTCAAGTATATGTTGTAAAGATATCAATTCTTCTCCCTAAATGTCTAAAGATAAAATGCAACAATAGTAAAAATTCAAGTTTTTTTATGGAAATTAACAAACTTGATCCTAACTTTTTTGGGAAATTCAAAGGGCCCAGATAAAGGGAAAGAACAAAGTTGGTGGATTCTTTTTTTCTAAGTCTAACTACAAAATTGTAGTAATTATGAGCATCATATCAGCACAAATATAAAAACAACAATAGCAGGAATTTGAAAATACAGAAGCAGATTTTCACAATCATGGACAATTTATTTATGGAAAAATGGCACTTTTGAACAGCATTTACTATAAGATCAATATAACTTCCAAATGAAGAAAAGGATATTGACTTCGAACACCATGAACGAATACCTGTCCATAGATAGATAGATAGATAGATAGATAGATATAATTTTTAGGAAAATAAATCCAGATCCAACAATGTGTAATTCTGCTCATATAAAATTTAAAAATTAGTTAGAAACCTTCTATGATATCAAAGGTCAGGATAGTCGTTGCCATGGTGAAGGAATAAGGAATAGTGAGTGAAGGTACACCCAAGGAGTGCTTCTGGATAATTATGGTGGTTAATTCTTGAGGTTTGTGATGGTTACATGGGCATATTCATTTCATGGGATGTCATTTAGCTATATGTTTTTGATTAGCATTCTTCTGGTATGCTATACTTCAATAAAAGATTATTTCGCAATATGATTGATAATAACATTTGTCAACTGTGTGTGTCTGATAAGTAAGTATATGTATCTATTCCCTGCACTTTTCTCCATTTCTAAAATAATTCTTAACTTATAAATAATAAAGTAAAGCAAAACCATTGATAAACAATCATTCTCTTGAAAGGATTGAGCCTTAATATACAGATAGAGTTTTCCTAGTGTCAGTAATCAATTTATTAATTCACTGAGTTAATTTAAGAGTTTAATCTTCTATTTTCCAGTTGTGTTCACTGCCTCTCTCACCCTGTTAAAAATAGCCATCATATTATTTTTTGAGTATGTATATTTGTATGTCAATATCTACATCTTTTCCCCCCATAAAATGATAGTCTTTGTGGAATGTTCATGCTCAGGACCTTCTGGGAAATACATTATTCTCTGAGCTAAAGAAGAGTCCAACATCTTCCCTCCTGCCCCTTCTCCCAGAAAGCTGTTAATCAATAAGCTAAGAACTGGACGGCCACAGGAAAGTAACGCTTCTTGCTTTTTCTTAATATCATAAAGGGCTTATATATTTATTGTATAAAAAGATAATTATCCATATTCTTAAATAATCTACCAGCCTTTTCTTATACGATGATTTTTTTAAAGGAACATAAATAGCTAATTATAAAATACAGGACTGTATGTAAATAGTTTTTTAATCTGTTTTTTTTTTCACTTAACATAGCATAAGCTTTTTCATGTAATTATATATGATGGTGTTCCTTAATCCAGTGTTTGAGGCTCTTTAGAAATACAATGAATGCATAGAATGTAAAGGGAACGTCATCCTTATAATGCGATTATTTACCTAGTACTCATGAGTATTTGCTTGTTTGGATGTTAGTGTAGAGTATTCACTGTTAAACTGGGTATTTTAATTTTCCTTGTAAAACAGGCCCAACTCTGCAGCAAAGCTTGGATCTCTGCTCCATTTTAAAGTGATGCACTGTAACCTCTGAAACAGAAAGTGAATTTAATCAATCCAGAGGGAGCAGTGCTTTCTCTGAGGAGGTTGCTTAATGAGTGACTCTTGAGTGAATCTCCAGTCTACTTGCCAGGGTTGCTGCCCCATTTCTGTTTCTGAAGTTACCTTTTCCCCTCCTATCTACTGAACTTAGAGTGGGTTTTTATTTCCCTTTCATCCCTTAGCACATAAAAGCATGATCAGAGTTACTCCAAGACTTAATTATATGGACTTGGGAAAACTCACCTCACTTCTTTCCAAACCTAACTGTAGGAACAAATAATATTCCAAGTCATTTTTTACCTTTCACTTATTTTCCCTATTTATCAATTCAGTTGAATTTTAGAAGTCTTTAGAAATACTGATTATATTCTTTGTGCTTAGCTTGACAGAAGCTTGACACAGATAAACTGGCTTATTAATACCACATTATTTTATGGCTATAATAAACACATTTAAATTTTAATTTTAAGCCAAGTTGTGAGTCAATGCAAAGATCTTAATGTGCTGCTTCAAAATATATCATCTGCTTTAAATGAAAGCATAATTTGGAAGCCCCCTCTGGTAAACATACAAAAACCTACTTAAAGGACTGTAACCAGAAAAAGTTTTTATAAGTGAGCTACAAAGAGAATTATCTTTGGGCTTACAATCTCAACTTACTTTTTTCTTCTTGCTAGATTGAGTTTGTCGGTACTTTAAATGAAATAATCAAGAATTAAATACATACAAAGAAACTTCTGACTCAATGTGTACAATCATGATAAATCACTGGAATATAATAGAATTTACCAACTAAATATTATAGATAATGTTTTAGTTTATAACATTCTTTGGAGGAAATAATACTTTTTAAAAGAAGTTCAAAATGATCTGAAATGCTGCTGTTCCTTTCTGGCAAAGATGGAATGTCTAAATGAATTCTGGCAATTGGCTTTAGGGACTTCAAAGCTTCGTGTTATCTGTGAAGTGATTCATTATTAATGCCCTGATGTAGCTGGTAATGTTTAGTCTAATTGGATTTAAATAGCTTATTGTAGGAAGTTTTCATTTGAGGTTATTTTTGCAGCATTAGTGATAATATCTTGAGTTAGTATTTTCCTAAGAATCTTTGCCAGGAGACAAATATTGTCAGCTGAATAGTCATATCTGCTCACCAGTTGATGATGGGGTAGATTAATCTAGTAACCTTATTCATAATAATGATCCTAATTTTTCCTAAGTATATAAACACCAGAGAGATCTAGTTCATATTAGTTGTTCAATCATAAGATGATATGTTAGCCCTGTGAGGTTGGAGTGGAGAGAAAGGACTGCTGCAAAATGCAAAATGTATCCATCTTGATCTCTACAAGAAAATTCATTACCCTTCATCCTGCCCCATTGAGGCAAGACCAAAAGAGACTGCTGGAAAAATAGATGATTGGGATAGGATAATGGTATTCCACAGCTTACAGTCATTCATAAGGCAAAGTGAATAATGTCTATCATCTATCTATCTATCATCTATTAATTTAACTTACATAGAGTCTCACTATAAGCTAATCATTGTTCTAAGTGTTTTGAAATATTAACTCATTGATGAGGAAGGAGCATTCATAACATAGTGAACTCTGTTTTGTATTTATGGCTTAAAAAGAAAGACTAATGATAACATCATAAAACAAAACCTAGCTATAGTCACAACATTTTGAATCATGAAAGGAAGGTCAGACCTGGTAGAGATTCCTTTCAACTAATCTTGACTGGGAGATAAGGTTTCTGCGGAAGTCAATGGAAGTCAACAGACTGTCCTTCACTTTTTGAAGAATACACCATGGGCTCCAATTCCATAGATGCCCTACATAGATTCCAACTACAGTTGGAATCAGTGATGATTTCATTGTTACCATGTTTTTTTCTCTTCAGTCTCTAATGTGTTTTTATTTTCCTCCCTAATGATTTCCCTTGGTTTTACTTTCCAAACCACTGAAAGGGATAGATTCCCTTAAGCATTTTGAAGTAGAGTGGAAATTATTTCACTGCAATGGCTAGCAATTATCTCAGAGACCGGAGGCTGTCAGGGTTACTAGGCAAGACCTGCAGTTATCTGAAGCACATCAATTCTGAAAAATACCAGGTTTAGAAGTAAATAGTCTCTTTAACAGATGATTATAATAGTCATCACCTGCAATATTTTTCTGCATTCAGATGAGATTTTTAGAAGTAGTAGTATAAATCTAAGTAATAACTAAAATATTACTAAATAATTAAAATCTTTAAAATATTTAAAAATGAAGAATGAGTCCAAAAGTAGAATTATCCTATGTACTCCAAGGCTGAAAATGAATTTTTAGAATAATGCTGTCCAGTAGAACTTTCTGTGATGATGGAAATGCTGTTATCTCTACTGTCTAATATCATAGCCACTGGCCACCTATGGCTGTTGAGCAATTGGTAAATTGGCTAATTGAATTGAGGAACTGAATTTTAAAATTATATTTAGGCCTTCTGCCCCTGGACGCTGCTGAGTAAGCATCGTTAAAGTCTCCCCTCCCACTGCCATCATGCCTAAGTCAGAGTCTCCCAAAGAGCCTGAGCAGCTGTGGAAGCTCTTCATCGGAGGTTTGAGCTTTGAAACAACCTATGAGAGTCTGAGGAGCCATTTTGAACAATGGGGAATGCTTTTGGACTGTGTAGTAATGAGAGACCCCAACACCAAGCGCTCCAGAGGCTTTGGGTTCGTCAGGTACGCCACCGTGGAGGAGGTGGACGCGGCCATGAATGCAAGGCCACACAAGGTGTATGGAAGAGTTGTGCAACCAAAGAGGGCTCTCTCACGAGAAGATTCTCAAAGACCTGGTGCCCACTTAATGGTGAAAAAGATTTTTGTCGGTGGCATTAAAGAAGACACTGAAGAACATCATCTAAGAGACTATTTTGAACAGTATGGGAAAATTGAAGTGATTGAGATCATGACTGACTGAGGCAGTGGCAAAAAAAGAGGTTTTGCTTTTGTGACATTTGATGACCATGACTCTGTAGACGAGATTGTCATTCAAAAATACCATACTGTGAATGGCCACAACTGTGAAGTAAGGAAAGCCCTATCGAAGCAAGAGATGGCTAGTGCTTCGTCCAGCCAAAGAGGCTGAAGTGGTTCTGGAAACTTTGGTGGTGGTCGTGAAGGTGGTTTTGATGGGAAGGACAACTTTGGTCATGGAGGGAACTTCAGTGGTCAAGGTCGCTTCGGTGGCAGTCAAGGTAGTGGTGGATACGGTGGCAGTGGGGATGGCTATAACGGATTTGGTAATGATAGAAGCAACTTTGGAAGTGATGGAAGCTATAACGATTTTGGCAATTACAACAATCAATCCTCAAATTTTGGACCCATGAAAAGAAGAAATTTGGGAGGCAGAAGCTCTGGCCCCTATGGTAGTGGAGGCCAATACTTTGCCAAACCACGAAACCAAGGTGGCTATGGTGGTTCCAGCAGCAGCAGCAGCTATGGCAGTGACAGAAGGTTTTAATTACTGCCAGGAAACAAAGCTTAGCAGGAGAGGAGAGCCAGAGAAGTGGCAGGGAAGCTGCAGGTTACAACAGATTTGTGAACTCAGCCAAGCACAGTGATACAAAGAAGACATGTTTTAGACAATACTCATGTGTATGGGTAAAAAACTCGAGGACTGTATTTGTGACTAATTGTATAACAGGTTATTTTAGTTTCTGTTCTGTGGAAAGTGTAAAGCATTCCAACAAAGTGTTTTAATGTAGATTTTTTTTTTTGCACCCATGTTGTTGATTGTTAAATGTAATAGTCTGATCATGATGCTGAATAAATGTGGCTTTTAAAAAAATAAAATTATATTTAGTATTAATTTAAATGTAAATATGGGCCACATGAGCCAAGTATTACTGCATTAGGGTAGTTCTAATTTTCTAAAATTCTAAATCATAATTGTGTATAAGAATATTTTACACTGAAGAAATACTGTATGTATTTTTCATTATACACTATAAATCATCATGTAATTTATATGAACTATAAAAAGGAAAAGTTTGGTTAAATACATGCATTTCCAAAATTAGATTTGGCACTATGTTTTAGTATTTCAAATATTTTTTCCCATTGACACTATGCATTTTTAATTTTTTCAAGAAATGTGATTTTTGCTAAAAACAAAGTATAATTCTGGCAATATTGAAACATTTTTAATTTGGAGTTTAATTCATTTGCTGAGAAGAGTGTATTTTTTTAAGTTTCATTGATATACAATTTACCTACCATAAAACTCACTTAGTGTACAATTCAGTGTTTTTTTTTCTTTTTAGTGTACTTAAAAAATTGTGCAACCATCATAATCTAAAATTAGAGCATTTTCAAATCCCACAAAAGGAACCTTATTCCTATTAGCAGTCACTCCCCATTTCGTCCCTAGCCCCTCACATCTGTCTCTATTGATCTGCTTATTCTAGATAATTGATAGTAATTAGAATGATATAATACATAGAAACTTGTAACTTCCATTGAGAGATGAATTTCTTCACCCCAAGAACCTTTTTCTTCACCTGAGATAAAAATAAGTAAATATAGCTTAAAAATGATAAATTTCACTTATAGGAATGTTTGTAAGATTTTGGAGAAGATAAAAAAGTCCAATAAATATTAATAGAGAAGTTGCATAATTAATAAAATATCTACAAAACCAGTACTAGAAACCTAGTTCATAAAGTACTTACTCTTCTATCTACAGTCACTATATCTGAAGGGTCCCAGTGCAGACAATGACACAAGAAATTGTCCTGGGAAATTATAGTCTTCTTGACCATGCTGCTGTTGTCTCTCAGGTTCTCTGTCTTTTCAAGTGCTGCCTGTGCTGTCCTGGGAGCTCAGAAAGATTGCATGGAACATATCATGTGTTGTGGTTAGTGAGGGGAGGTGTCCTCTTCTAATTTTCTAGTGGTTTACCCTTTAAAGGGAATACCAAGGCAGATTTGTTTCTGTCCCAGTGTTTTATGGAATTTTAAGTGGATAACTTCTTATAACTTTTACCTACTTCCTCCCTCTTGCCTTTTTTCAGCATGCATTCAGATAGGTATATGTTGGGTTACTAGGGCGCAAAGGCCTTCCCCAGAAATGACGATCTCATGAGAATTTCTCCTCTTTGCTGAGGAATAAGGCCAGACTCCTGGGGTCCATCCAACTTACTGTGTCCTGTTCTTTCTTCCCCATAATGAGTTTTTATCTAGAAACCACCTCGGTCCCTCATAAAAGTTGGTTTCCAGCAGGTCAGATTCCCCAATTTGTCAGAGATGTCCAGCTATTTTCGAACAGCAGAGCTTTCTGTAGTTAAACTAAAGTTGGGATAGCCACCAAATTTCTTTGTTGTGCCATAGGGCCTCTCAGTAGAGAATGGGGTGGAAATCTGTGCGTGGAGCCATCTGGTGGTAGGACCATCTACTCACACTTTCTGCCACCCCAGATTTTGACACACTGGAATTCTCGTGTTATATAAATAGCTTTATATCTGGGATGGTATTTCCCAGTGGTCAAGTAATGCCAAAAACCATCATGTTTCTCGTATCCAATAATTTGACTTCTTAAAAGTCTATCTTACAAACAGAACTAAATATAGTCAAATCCTTGTCTAGAAAGTTTATCTTGAAAATGGCTGTATGTCATGGCAGCAAGACAACTAGTTGGAAAATTAAGCATTGTGTTAAACATTACAAGTAAAATGTTCAGCCCATTCAGAGTTATTTGGTGCAATGTGATCCAGAGATTGGTTAACTTTTTTTTTGTTTGTTTATAAAAACTGCCAAATTCTCTCAAATGAATGGTTTATGTGTACAAAGTTACTTATGCTAAAAACATATAAATTGAGTCAAAAATTGCTCATTCTCATCACTGACACCATGAAAAAAAGAGAAGACTAAAGAGTTTGGACTTTGTTGAAAAGCTATTTAAGTCAGTATTTTAAAAAAAATTGTTTAAAGGATCCAATATATATCCAGACCTATGAGGGGGGAAAGAAAACATATTCCTTCAAGAGCTATGGAATGTAGCAGACACCATATCTGAATTGAGTGGTTTAGTGTTGTTGTTGTTGTTGTTGTTGTTGTTGTTGTTTTAGACTCTGAGAATATTAGATGGTAGATTCTACCCACATCCTTTCATTTTTTGGCCTCTAACCTTATTGTATGGAGCGATACATAAGACAGCTCTAATTCTGAAGGTAGAGCAAGGCAAAGAGCAATAGCTGTTCTGGGTTTTGTCTTCATGAGGGAATAAGGATGCTGATTTCAGAATAGAGATACTTACTGTCCTGTTTCAGAAACTTAAAGTTTTTTTAGACTAGTGTGTTTTAAGTATTACCCTACTCTTTCCTCTGTCCTTTCGCTTCCTTTGTCCTCTAACTGCAAAGAATATATCAGGAATAGAATTCAGAGATAGTCTTCTAACTACATATACTTAGGATGGCATGAGCCTTAAGCCTTCTTAAGTTCTTTTGATTATTTTTTCATTCTACAAACATGTACTGAGTGTAGAAATGATTGGAAAAAGGAGGAGTGTTAGTAAACCAGGTTAGAGACCATGGATAGGTTGATACTGGGAGAAACAGAGACAAAATTTTCCAGCACCTTGGAACCATACATTCATGGTTGGATAGAAGAGACTTGAGATATTTTTTAAAATATTTTATTTATTTATCCATGAGAGACACAGAGAGAGAGAGAGAGGCAGAGACACAGGCAGAGGGAGAAGCAGGCTCCATGCAGGGAGCCCAACATGGGACTCAATCCCAGGACTCCAGGGTCACACCCTGGGCTGAAGGCAGCCCTAAATCGCTGAGCCACCTGGGCTGCCCGACTTGAGATATTTTTAAGAGAAACTGGTGCTTTTGCAGGAGCAGTGAGCCAGTATGCTGCTGAAGGCTCTATTATAGTCTGGATTCTGATATCAAAGTCATTTTTTTTAACCCGATGAATACTGTCCTCTCCCTGTGGCCTTTCAGAATTCCATCTGAAAGGAAGAACAGTCTCTTGATCCACAATTACAGGTTTGGGAGGCCACATTAGTATCCCGATGGGCACTGAAGATAAAACAAGACATTCTTAGTGATCTGAAGGAAATTATGATATAGTAGTAGGAACTTCCAGGTAAACAATCACAACATGTCACTATATGTAGTAATAGAGAAAGTTTGGATTCTGATGGCAGCCTAGTAAAGAATACAACTATTTCCAGTTTTGGGGGAGTGACAAGCATAATCTGATAGGTGACATTTGACCTGGATATTGAAGGGTGAGTGGGAACTTTCCAGGTAGTGAAGAAGAGAACGGGAATAGAATTGTTGAAATAACACCTTGGGAGAAAAGTATGCACATAGGCGAAACCAAACAATCTCCCCAAATTCCCCAAGCAAGAAAAACAAAATAAAATATAAAACAAAAACTTTGCATTTTCATAATCCTTGGCTCAATGAGACCTTTATGAAATGTGAGTAGGAGCAGGGTTCTTATTTTCTTTTATGCTATTCTGTAAGTTGATCTATGTGCAATGCCAAATGGAGTTTGTGCTCAAAATTTCCTAATCCATTAATCTTCAGGTGTTTTTCACATTTTCCATTTGAGTGACTGCAGTAGATCCACTGACCCCCAAAAAGGTTGGTAAGCCAAAGAGAAAACAGCAGACTCCCTGAATGATAAGTATTTATAGAAAAGGCAGTTCACTTAGAGCAATTACTCAGAGAAGTTAGAGGGGAAAGTATGGAGTGAATGTCCATCATTTATTAGTTTAGAATTAAACCAAGTATAATCTATAGATAATGGATAGAGATGACTTTTTAAAGTAAAACCTTTCACCCTAGTAATGCAAACTTCTGACACCAGGGCCTACTTCTGTGCTGAATCACTCAAGCTGTGGCTCAATGCCCGAAACTCAATTTCTTTTGTTCCGTGCCCTCTAAAGCATGTTCTCTCTGAGACTCAGCTTATCCTGGCAGAACTTTGCCTTATTGAATTTTGCTTGATTTGAAGTTTCCTTCTCTTTCCAGCACCCATTTGTTTCTGTTTCAAGCGAAGAACTTGCTTAGTTAGCTCGATTTGATTTCCCTCGTGGGTTTTTCTCCTATATGTTTCTTTATTGCAGAAGCCTTCACAGATAGAAATGTGGTTCCTTGAGCAGATAATAACAGCTCTTGTTAACTAACGGTTCTAACCCTTACATGGCTCTTCTTACTTGCTGGATACTGTTCTAAATGCTTTTCATGAATTAATTCCATCTTCACAAAAACTGGCAAGTATCGTTCTTCTTCCCATGATGTGGATAGGGAGGCACCTAGAGAAGAAAGACCTTGCCAGAGCTCACAGAGTTGGTAGCAGAGTTGTGCTTATGTCCTAGTTGTCTGTGTTTCCAACAATATCCCCTGTAATCTGTCAATAAAAGTCAGAGACTGTGTAAATTAGCCTTCTTACTGTTCACATTCTCCATGGAAGGAAGATGGGCACTTTAATCTTAATATACACATGAGAAAGCAGAGTTTCATAAAGCTGATGTAACTAGCTCAAGTTTACCCAGTGGCTGAGATGTGTTTCAATTGTTAGCATCTCCAACATAAAACCCCTTGCTCTTCACCACTGCATTGAGCACCACTTTTGTTTTGTTTTGTTTTGTTTCATTTTCAAAGCTCTGATCCAGAGCTCGGACCCAGACCTCCCCTTTTTCCTTGTATGATCTTATCTCATGGCTTTAAATAGATATCTGAACTCTGATGATTCCTGGGTCTGACATCTTCCCTAAGTTTCACATTCATGTGTCAGGAAATGCTTTCTGTAAG